ATCAGGCAGAGATCAGTGTTGAGGGCACTGCTTGCACCAGATCCAGTCCTATCCCTACCATCCCTGTGTAAAGTCAGGGCTGAGTTGGTGCAGACTGTGCAGCCCCTCCCTGGCACTGCTTCTTGGCTGCACCAAGTCTGGCCCCACAGCAGCAGGGATCAGTGCCAGGTCTCAGTGCCACACAGACCGCTGGCACATCATCCTTGACAGACATATTGGTACCTTAGGAAAATCCCGTGTCTCTTCCTGACACTCTGTCTCTCACAGTTTTGCAGCTACGGCTTCAGCAGAGAAGGACCCGTGAGCAGCTGGCAGACCAAGGCATCATGCCACGTGAGTACCATTTTCTGCCTTTTTCACCCACTCATGGATCAGGGGGTCAGTGTTCCTCCTGGGTACTGTTGGGATGCTGTGTGGCACCAGCTGCCTGCTCAGATCCCTTGTGCTCTGAGCAGATTGCTGCTGAGCTGGGCTTTGCTTCCAGCCCTGTAGCAATACTGTGCTCTGTGGTGCTGTACAGTGGTGCACAGCGTTTGCTATGCAAGATACAGTGCTGCTATTCAAACTGAATTTAGGATTGCTGCTTAGCTTACACCATCCAAAAACTGAGCTGCATGGTGCCCTGTCCCAGAGGTCACTGTGTCAAAGCAAAGCATTTTGCAAGGGCAGAGCATCCCACATCCTCCTGCAGAAGTCAGGAGTTTCTGTGGAAGGGTCAGACCCACAGTACAGGGAAAGTTGGAGAGGGATGCTAGAGTTCAAAATGTATGTGAATGAAAACGATCCCCTTCTGCACAAGCAGAAACATGTAGCATCTGTTGAAACCATCATGAAACCTGTAGCACTACTGAAGAAAAGCTCAGGCTCTGTGTGCATGAATCTGTGATGATCTGGGGTCCAAGTGAAGGACAATCCTGGTAGCTTTCCATCTCATCATGGAGGTCTCTGCTAAGATCACAGCTTTCCAGAGGCTGTGCCACATTTGTCTGTTCTGGCTAACCTCAAAGACTGTGATGCAGCTTTTATTTAACCAGCAGAACAAGAGCTCACTACGAGTATGGCTCTAGCACTGCCTGCTGCACCCTGCTCATCCCTCTGCTGCCCCTCTCTCATGCAGCTGCCTTCCTAAAAGCTGGTGTTGAGGGAGCTGGCAACAAATGCCTTCTCATTATACTGTTGCCAGCATCAAGCATTAAAAAAACTTGAGGAAGATGATAAAAATCACATCTGTCAAGGTTTTAGGAATTATAAATTAAAGCTCTTCTCATTTTTCCTGTTTATTTCTATAAGCATCCAGATTCTGTGCTGCCTGCCACCAGTAGGCAAGCATTTTAACTGTGGGACTCCAGGAATTGAGATTTGAGCAAAATATGGCATTTGTGATAAAATTTCAAGCACTGGCAATACAGTCAGTGTCCAGAAGTATGTCCAGTGTCTCCAAACCTGCTTATTTCATTCTGCACAAGTGGTCACACTCAGACAGTGTGCAGGCTACCCCACTGCACATGTATGCAGCTGCAGGGCCAGCATAGCGTTTTGCGTTCCTGATGCTGCGCTGCAGGGCTGAGCACAAGGCAGTTACTTACAGCTTCTTTACCATTCCAGCTTCTAGGCTGACATTTTACAGTCTGGTTTCTGTTCAAGGAGACCATTCTGGGAAGCATGAGCACAGCTCAGTCACTAAAAATATTAAAAGAGGCACTTTTGCCATTGTAAAAGCAGACATGCAGAATCTAACTGCTGAATTTAACCTCAGGAGTGTAAGATGCTGGTGTTGAACAAGTGGGAATCCCAGCCAGCTTCCCTGTGGTCTGGGCACGTGCAGTCAGTCCTTACGAAAAAGTCTTTGATTAAACTTCCCATGTCCTGTCAGCTCTGAAGACCTGCAGATGAGATGGGCTGTAAGAGGTGCACCAGGGTGGGATATTGGTTCATATGCATTGCAGGTGGGCAAGAAATGAATACAGATGTGAGTCACTGTGGTTGAGAAGAGCTCATCTGGAAAGAGAACAGAGGGTCATTGCTGGTCTCTGTGTTGAGTCAGTTTTGGTACCAAGCTAGGAACATGTGCTTGATTCCATGTTGCAGGTCAGGTTTTATACAAAAAATGTCACATTTTCAGCTGATGCAGTCACAGAACTAAGAAACTTTGTTTTTTTAACTGACTCATTTTATATAGAAACCACAAAAAGAGGTGAAAGGTCAGACTAAGAGATTAGCATTGGATAAAAGCCTTGAGGGCTTGCTGAAACCCTTGCTGATGACCATCCACAGGACCTGCTGAGCTGTTCAGCCATGTGGATTACAAGCACAGTAAGAGTGAAACTTCGGAGGAACTGAGAAAGCTGACTCGTTTTTGGTACTGAAGAGAGCAGCTCAGGGTGAAGTAATGGTGGTACCTGAGCAAAATGCATTTAGATGGGTGTCCTTACCTAACCAAAGCCCATTCTGTGTCTGGTTTGATTGGGCAAGATTAATGCCATCAGTACCTTAGCTCTATTCCTTTGGATGATCGTCTAAGAAATGTGAAAATTTCAGATGATCCCATCACTGGAGAAGGCAGGAAACTGCCAAAAGGAGGCTGCTCAGGGCAAAAGGCAGTAGTGCTGTTCTTCTGGACCAGGCTTAAAAGTGGACTCTGATGGTCAGAAGTTTTCAGGTTGTACACTGAACAACTGGCAGGCTGAATAATCAACTCTAACATAAAAAACTACAAATAATGACAAGCACTGACTGGTAAGCAAGGACAGCCTCTGGGTCCCTTCAGTCCTGTGAGTGTGGGGGGGGAAGCATCTGAAAGCAAGAGAAAATCTACATTTACTGAGACAAGACCACACTCCTGATGCATGTATGTGTGCAGGTGAGAGCAGAACCTGTCCTGTTCTTCAGACTCACTGAGTGGGAAGTTCTTAGCTCATGCAGCACTGTATTATTGAACTCATGCCATTTTATTGTCTTAGTGCCCAGGCAAAATCTTTAAATTCAAGAGCATCCTTCTGCAGAAGAGAAGGCTGCAGGGACAAGTGAGGATGAAACCTTCCTGCATCCCAACACAGGGGTTGCCCCATACCCCAACCAGATCTGCCCAAAGGGAAGGGGTGACAGTTTGCAGCATCAAGGATTCCTCAAGGAAAAGTTCTCCCCAATGCGGTGGGATCAGAAATAGCTGTGCTTGAAGTAAGGACCCTTCTACTGTATGCAGCCACCACCTCATTCTCTGACTTGAGCCTTAGAGTCAATAGTCCTAAGATAATCAACACCAAGCACAGCAGCTCTGCCCTGTTGCCTCCAAACCTCAGCCATTTCAAGCTGCCAGGTCATTGCCTGACAAGGTGTCTGAATAACCAGTGTTAGCAATGTCTTCATTTGTTTTTTCAGACTAATACAAGCTGCAGTATCCACATAATTCCTCTAAAAATCTTGGTAAATGGTTAAATTCTGCAACATTTTCCTCATGAATAGCATGATGTTTGACTGGTCAGTGCCCATAGTAAGCTCCCAGTGTCAGGACTTCAAAGTGAATGGAGCTGTAAAAGTCATTTCTCTTGCTACCTTCATTTTCTTGTATGCACCATTTTATTTTGCTTCTGGTTAAACTAGCTGTCACCAATCCTCATGGCTGCTCACTGGAGCATGGCACAGTAATGCTGGCTTGTCTGTATATTGCTTTCCAAACTTGAGAAGCAGGAATGTGCCCTCTGTGTTTTCCTGTGATTCTCTGGAGGTTAGGAGTGTTGCCTACCAAAAGCCAATTCAGGCCCCCAGTCATTTTCCAGCTTTCCTCATTATTTTCATCGTCCTTTTCTAGACTGATGCAGGACATCATGTCCTGTGTGAAAATAGCTTCTGTCCTCGTTGTATCCCACTCACAAGATGGAAAGGGAATTAAGTGTTGCCAAACAGAGAGTTGTAGCAGGCTGTCTTTGTGGGTCAGGGCACCTTCCCCTTCCCCGTCCCAATGGGAACAGTTCATTTTGCTTGCTTACACAGATAGAAAAGAATTTCTGCAGGGACCGAAAAATATTAACCCCTTCACCACACAAATTTCTCTTCAGTTTCTACAGAATCAGGCTAAACAAGGAAGTGTGCAGGGTCCTCCTTGACTCAGCACAGACTGCTCTCACTCCAAGACCCAGGAATCATTTGCCTTCCTTTTGGGACCCTCTCTGGGTTAATCCTGAGTGCCAGTAGATGCTAAGATCTGTCTGGTCCTGGCCAGACAGCTGCTCAGGGAAGCACCATGTCACACCAGTGCTTCTGGGCAGAGGACAGGTCAGTGTCCATAGAGAAGGAGCCAACAGAAGATGGAGGCGTAGTCAGTGATGGAAGAGGGACAAAGGAAAACAGCTCCAGGGTCCTGGTTGCAGCACCCCTGCTGGAGGCTGTAACCCCATGGCCCTAAGTGGCCAGGCAGGCAGGTCTTTTCCTTTTTTTCTGCTGGCCTCAGTCACCTACAGGTGTTACTTTCAGGTGATGTCCCCTCAGCCTGTTGCTCTCCCTAGATCAGTTTGCCAGGGCTGTGGTGCCCCCCCGTCCCATTACCTACAGGAAAAGCTCCAGGAAGAGCAGCACTTGCTCTCCAGCACATCCCCTTAAGCAGCACATCCCAAAGCTGCACATCTCCCTGCCCATGTCCCTCCTGCATTCCCTGTGCTCCCCGTCCCCCTGCTCTCTTGCTGTGGCCTGGCGGAGAGCATGGGATTTCCCAGAGCTTTCCTGAGTTATTTTTAGTTAGTGCAATAAAGAGAGCAGCTAGTTTGTGTTGCTATTTTTATAGCACTCATTAAAATGCTGTTGCTGAATATCCTGGTGGCTGCTTGCTTCCACTCCTGTGCTGACTGCTCCTCTCTCTTTCCTGTTGCAGCACTGAAAAGCCCATCCGCATTCCATGAACAGCGAAAAAGTCTGGAGCGAGCCAAGGTAATTCCTACTGCCATCCCAATGAGTGAACACATGGGCTCGCTTTGCATGAGTTGTGGAGTTTGAAAGCACCTTTCACCACCCTGCCCTCATCTGGCTTCCTCTACCAAGGCCATGTGGCCACAGTTGAGGGTCAGGGCATCTCCCTTGCTTCAGACACGCTGGGGTCAAGCCAGGCTTCATGTGTTTAGGAGCACCCTTCTCCAGGCAGGAGGTTTAAAATTGCAGAAGGGACATCTGTCTCCTGAGCTTGGGGGTTTTAAAACAGTCCCTCGGTTTTACAAGAGCCTAAGAGGGTTCAGCCTTCCAGTAAACCTCCAACTACATAAATGTCCAACTACTTCAAGCCTCTGTTTTCCTTGCAGGGCCATATCCATGGCCCACTTCATGCTGTGCTGACTGCTCTCCACTCCCGCACAAGTCAGGGCATTGAGAACAGTCAGCATCAAATAGGACAGATGAAAGGCTAAGTATTTAGCAAGTGTGCAGGAGGAATGCAGATGTCACCTGGAGAAAGTCCCCAGGAGACTCATACTTGCCATCAGAGAGGAGCTGGGCCTTTAGTCAGCAGCACTGCTGGTCCACTGCAATATCCCAGGGGCTAAGTGAGCCAGTGTCCCACTCATGCGATTACCTATTTGCACTCAGGCTTCCCAAAATACTGCTGAAGGCAAGGACAAGGTAAGCAGCCATTTCCAGAGCACATTGAAACTCTGTGATGTGATCACATTTTGGAAAATCACACCAGTCTTCCAAACACTTTCTATAGCACCCAGCTTGCAGCCCTGACCAAGCTGGAGAGATGTCCACACACAGCATGGCAAAGGGAACAGTCACACAGGTTTCTCTTGAATACAAGAGCTTCTTATCTTAGTCTGCAAAATGTGCCTACAGTCACATGGAAAAGGGCCTTTGCAAGAAAGTATGGCTGTGAAATATGGAGAAGTGCTCTCCTGAACTTAAACACACTCCAAATCACTTGCCCCGAGACTCCAGCAGTAATAAATGGCTAGCATAAGAAACACAGTCTGACTCTGAAAAATTAGCATGCTTGCGAAATTTCAAGCAATCCAAAGTATCCCTGAAGTGTCATATATTTTACAGTTTCGTATACATTTGTGTCTCTTTGTCCTGCTCTTCAAAGGCTTTCACTGGCTGGTTGCCTGGGGGAAAGCGAAGGATGGTCTAGTCTATCCCAAACTGCATGCATTTTTAGAGCATGCTAATGAACACACTGATGAACACAGCCTATAATAAAAAAATATTCCTTTGCAAGGATGCCCTGCTTATAGCCCTGACAGGAAAGGAGCAGCAGCTTTTTCCAGATAATTATTCAATAGCATTTGCTGTTTAGCTGATATTCCTTCAAACTGATGTTCTGCAAACAGAAAGCAGATAACAATAATGGCTTTCATGTGTTTTGAAAGCTCTTCTGCTTCAACTGATGCTAAAAAGAAAAAACACATCTGAGGTCTTTCTCCACTGTTTGCACCACAGTGACACAAATACAGCTCATAGACAGTAAAAGGTCAAATGGAACTGTAATCACAGCAGAAAGTCAGGCTAGCATGGTGACAGTGCAGGAGTCAACATGATGGTGCCACGTCTGTATGACAGTAATTCAGATTTAGCTCAAGTGAGGCCCTGACCTGATAGTGAGAAGTGAATGTAACTGTATCCAAATGCAGGCATCATCCAGCTCTAAGCTGGCACAGAATCCAGGCAGACCTACAGGTGGTCCAAGCAAGGGATTGTGATGGTGAAAATAAGCTGGGGAAAAATTATGGGGGAAGGGGAAGAAATTGCAAAGGCTTCAGTAAATAAAATGTCTATTATTTGTTTAAACATGTCACTGGCTATGGACGAGGCTGGCGTTAGGCCAGGGCAGCAGACTTTGAAGTCGATGTCCTATGGTAGATTGCTGGGCTGGAGGACAGAGGCCGTCTGGCTCAGCTTACACCCAGCCTCTGCCTCACAGCAGAACAGCCCCAGCTAGGTCATTCCTGACAGATGTGCAGCAGCCAACAGCCATCCCATCCACCCCTTAACCAACCCTCTTCATTGCACCCTAACCTGTGCTGTTACCACGTCTTCCCTGATTCCCAGACCAAGCTTTTCAGTTGCAGCTTAAGGCCATTACTTATCCTTCTACAAGCATGGACAAGCAGAACCATTTATTTCTTTTTGTGCAGCACGTTTTAAAATTATTTTGCACCCTGTTTCCCTACGGCAGACGCACCTCTGAGCTGATCAGTTTCCTTTCCTTTCAGCCTCTCCTCATTGATCCCATTTCTGACTTAATGATCTCTGCTGCCACCCTCCAGGCCCTTCCCATGTGTTCTTTCAGACACAGGTTCCACAGCAGGGCCTTGCTATTCCTTGTATCCATTTGACATTCCTCATGGCATTCCCTAGAAAGCTGCCTGCCAGTCCAATTTCTATCTAAGGTCACTGTCCACCGAGCACTGCAGAAATATCTCTGGTAGATTAATCTTCATTCCTTCCAGAGCTTGTGCAGCTGCCTCAGCTGTGGCTGTGACCTGACTGCAGTCATTTCCAATTGTCCTTCTTTAACTGTATCCAATGTATCTCAGATGATTTCTTCAATTACTCCAAATCATTTTTTATTGCAATCTGTTAGTCTTGAATGAATCAGAGTTAAGCAGTATGTCTTCTATCATCCAAGGCATAAATGAAAAAATTGAATAGTAGGAAGAATTGCTGCAGAACATGATTTGATATATTCTTGTGTTTGCACTGTGAACCATTCCTAATTCCTTTGGTGACCCACAGTTATGCTCCTTTCTTATGCTTTTCTTATCCAGATCAAATTCTCTGGTTTGAATATGAGAAAATGAGATAATGTCAAAACATGCTTAGAGTCAAACTACGTGACATACTTTGTTTATTCCTGTAACAGAAATCTGTCATCTCTCCATAAAAGGAAAATAGTGGTATCATTTGTTCTTGAAGAACACATCCTGGCAGTTACTCACCTCATTGCTATCTTCAAAATCCCTTTGTATAGATTGTTTGATTACTTGTTCCAATATCTCTCTGATTGGAGTCGTAATTTCCAGGTTTCTTCTCTCCACCTCTTTTAAAGCAGTAAATTATGCTCTCCCTGGCCCAGCTTCCTGGAGAACCAGAGATTGTTGCTATTACTCCAACCTGTATATCTTTTACCGCAGGTTTTTTTATTTTCTCTAGCTGCTTGTGTTTTTTTATATTCATTCTGAAGAGTTTAAACTTTTTAAAAAAATGTATATTTTTAATATTATTTCTTCTAGCACCTCAACTTAGCAAACAGCTGATAATTAATCTAAGTTATTCTTCAGCTCTTCTTCACCAGGTGGTAAGCTTGCATCTGTAAACTTGAGGTCAACAGCCTCCAGTACTGATTTCCTTGGCCCAGAGGAAGGTGTTTTTGCACCTCTGTGTGTTTTCTGTACCTAAAGCCATGAAGAATTCGGTACAAACTCATCACAAGCTCAACTGCAGTGATCTGCAAAGTGGTTTTTCCCAAACCCACACTACAGATAGGGTAGATGGGGTGAGGAACTGTAGAGCACATAGCTGCAGGAAGGCTAAGTCTTGTGGTTGACCTGGGGTGAGTGTCTGGGTATTCTTATGACCTGCTCAGCCTTCTATGTCATTGCAGAATGACAGGCTTCCCACAGAAGTAATTGCTAATACTATGCCATGGCACTGCTGTAGTGCAGCTCTCAAAGATGGTGTGGGTTGCTGAGCCAGCAGATCTGCCTCTCCCAATAAACAGGTCTCATCCTTCCCGTAAGCTCTCATAAGATTTGAGGGATTAGAAGCCCAAGGATAATTGGCCAGGACACAGTCTAGTTGTGAGGGTAGTGAACATTCACCAGCTCCATGCATGTTGTTCTCTTTCTGAAGAACTTCTGTTCAAGAATCAGCCAGTGTCCAGGTGAAAAAAAATACCATTCAGGAGCTCACTCAACCTAAACTGTAATGAATCCAAAAAAACATAGGACAGCACCTGCTCTCTGTACCTTATTGATGCTCTAGTCAGGTAATACTCTCTGCATTTGTGTTCTGCAGACTGAAGATTATCTCAAGCACAAGATCAGAAGCAGGCCTGAGCGATCAGACCTGGTCAATATGCACATTTTACAAGGTAAGACTGCCTGGGATTCTCCCACATACTTATCTCTCCTGCTCCACCTGAGTTCCTTTCAGGACTCTCATTACTATTTACTTTGCCCCAGCTGCTCATGAGAGCCACTGTCAAAGGGGACGTGCTGTATAGTAGCCAGTTCAGATCCAGTCTTTGAGTGGAAGACACACTTTTCCGCTGACAGGAGGAGATCCAAGACCTGCTAACCTTTGTTCCATCTCTGGTAGGGATCAATGTGAAATGGTCTAGAAGACAGTAGGGTAGAAAACAACTATGAAAGAGAACTCTGTTAGAGGTCCTGCACTTCTGGAACAGGTTGCCCAAGGAGGTTGTGGATGCCCCATCCCTGGAGGCATTCAAGGCCAGGCTGGATGTGGCTCTGGGCAGCCTGGTCTGGTGGTTGGTGACCCTGCATGTAGCAGGGGGTTGAAACTCAATGATCATTGTGATCCTTTTCAACCCAGGCCATTCTATGATTCCATGATTCACGTCCTCATGAAGTGCAAACCTTGGGCACTTGTGGTGAAAGCCTTGTAGCAGGTGGTTCTCATAGCTTCCCAAAGCTGGATCTGTTTTTTATTTTTTTGCCTTAATTCTTATGGTGATGCTGAATGAAACGAAATGAAAGCTGGTGGAAATAATAATCCTATGCACTGCCATATGAAAAGGTTCTAAGTCTGTGCATTTTCCCCTTCCGCAGCCTGATGTCTCTTTGCAGCCAGGAGCTGGCAGTGCTCTGCTGCATCCCATCACAGGCAGCAGATCTCTGCAGTGTCCCCCATTATCTCCAGAGATAAGGAGCTCCTTTGAGACAGGGAGGATTGTGCAGTCTCCCTCCTCGAACCCTGTCAGTCCCCAAGGAAAAGCAAATTACTTTCTGGTGACTGTAAATGCTGGCTCCTGCTCACTCTGTGGATAAAGTTCATATTTCTTTTTCCTCTGTCATGCCAGAGGTCTAAGCCAGGAGTCTGACAGATTCATGCCACTGCCATCCTTTACCTATTTCTCTCCATCCCTAAAATGAGCCAGCATCATTGCCCATTTAACAGGTAGAAGTGTCTTTCCCTTAGGTCAAGTGACTGAAGCAAGTACAGACTGGAATTGGGGCTGGGTACAATAGAAAAGATGTGGAGGTGGCTGCAGTCACTGAGCACTGACAGGGCTGACCAGACACAGGGGTGGTGCAGAGCCTGCCTAGTTGTGCACGGAGCACCTGGCGGTGCTGCCCCACACACACTTCTGGGCTGAGGCCTCTGCTCACTCATGGGGGTGTGCCCTGGAGTATCATGGGCTTATCTGCCCAGCTGGTTCCTAACAGGACATAGAAGTGATTGAAATGGGGCAGCTGGTATATGTGCCATCATCTAAATGTCTTCCAGACACACCTTCTGTTACTGCTCACCTCAGGGACCTTATGTGGGTTCCACACAATCTAGTCTGAGGCCAAAAATGACCTTACATCAGCTCTCCTGACCTCCTGCAGAGTATTATTCCCTGGTATCAAGCTTGTGTCGAGTATAGTATCTCTTCCATAACAGCGTCCAGCCATTGAAGGCAGCACAGCTTAGATGCAGCCCTTGTTAGTTTTGACCCTCAAGGGTATAGATGCAGTCTAGTTTAAGAACTCCCTCTTGCTCCCTCTCTCCCCAAGCTGGTGCTATGAGAGGAGACAGAGCATCTTTGTTCGGGAAATTACCATTTGCTGTGGTAATTGGTCACTGCTCTGTCACCTCTCAGTAAGTGGGAGCTTCCTAGTTGGATTTGGTTTGGCAGTAGTTTTCAGATCTAGCTGCCTTTATTATGCTCCTCCACCAACTTGTTTTTCCCCTGGAGGCCTGGAACAATGTCCTCACACTGCCTCTAAACGTTCCACTCCTGAAGCCTCAGCTTTTTATCTTCCAGAGCAAGGCATTTATTCCAATTGTCAAACATTGTTAATGGTTCTTCTCTCCAGCTGTTCCACAGAAGTACAGATCTGCATTAGACCACAAGAGCCACTGGGCTCCTGGCAGGCAGGAGTCAGAGTCCACTTAGCCTCACAAGTCAGTCACAGCTTAATGAAGTTTCCATTGCAGATCATTCCTGGGTCTTCGGAAGGATGTTTCAGTGCTGGCTGGGTTTGAAAGCCTAGGTTAGAAAACAAAGGCTTTTAATTGGGCATAGAGAAGCTTGACCTCAGGCTCAGGGGAGGATACGTGTCCCAAAGCCCCATCTTGCCTCCAGCCTCAGAGCAGTTCCTGCTGGACACTGAGCTCTGCTTGTGCCTTGGCTGCAGCCCAGAAAGGCTGTGCTGAGGGGAAGCATGCTCTCAGCAAGCAGTGTGCTTACAGATGGCCCTGGTCCTGAACTGATGCCTTCCATTTGGCCTTTTAGACTCAGCTGCAGAGGGGTCCATTCAGTCCACTCAAATGAAGCTGAAAAGAGCCCGACTGGCAGATGATCTCAATGAAAAGATTGCTCTCAGGCCGGGTCCTCTGGAGCTGGTGGAGAAGAATATTATTCCTGTCGACTCAGCTGTGAAAGAGGCCATAAAAGGTAGTGGAAGTGAACGTGCATTTTGTGTTGTGTGCATGGCACGGGGCAGGGGCTGGAGAGGTTACAAGGACGTACAGCAGTGACTGCCTGAAGTTAAGAGTAGCAGCTGCACATTATTTAAATTTCCTTATTTTCACAGTAAACAGCCCAGTCCTACACAGCCTTACTCGGGTCCATAAAAAGAGAGTTTTCATCTTAGAGAATCTGTGATGGAAACATGAATCATTTTTCAGCCATGTCTTCTCAGGGAGAATACATCCTTTATTCCCCCACTTGCCCCATCCAAGACTTTGAGTACATAAATGATACTGCTGGAGAGAGGACATTCCTTCCTCCCTTACATGGAAGAGGGCTTGAGTTCACACATGCAGACATCAGGCCAGCCTGGTCCTGCTTGTGCCCTGCCAAACTCTTACATCCTAAGGGGTGAAACAGCCCTGGTTCAGTGAGGCTGCTGCTTTGTTTTTCCACTGATGCTAGTGGAATGCAAGGTCCAAGAGAGTAGAGGGAAATGGGTGCCAGTCTTCTGGGGAATACAAGGAGCTGACTGCATCCCAAAGGAGAGTATTCTCCTATTATTTCCCAGTGCTTGGTTTATGCCTAAACTTAGTGTTCCTCCACCACCCACATCCCAGCTGGAGGGGGGAGGCAGGATCCCTTGCTGTTATTTCCCCCATGCTGCTGCAGGAAGGCCAGTGCATGGGCTGAAACAAAGGAGACTGGTGACTCAGAGTTCACCAGTGCCAAAACAGGGAGATCAGAAAGCAGAGAAAAGAGCAGGAAAGCCTGCAAGGTTGTTCAGTGCCAGCCCATCAGCCTGTATTTCTGATGTCTGGGTTCATCTCTGTGTCCAAATTGGACCTCAGGCCTCAAGTGGGGCACTGAGAGCTGTTCTGCCTTCAGGAACTCCTTGTTCTGTTGCTCCTCATTCCTAAATTCATGGGATTATTTCCATTGGCATAATCCCAGGACAAGTGTCTATTCTGGGCTGAGGGAAAAACAGGGACAATGGCAGAGCTCTGGGACAGGAGGGGTCTTTGATCTACAGGAGTGATGTAGAAAATGGGAACTGAGGCGGGAAGTACTTTGACTTTGGTTTCATCTCAGAAATCAGCAGATACAGCGTGAAATACTGCAGGCTTAGACAGACCTCTTCCCTGTCCTCCAGTTGTTCCTGCTCTTCGTTTCCCCACTGCAAAGCGCATGTGGGGTACGCACGGCAGTTTCTGCAGTCTGGTTCTTGAGCCACACCATTTGTAGCATTTCACAGCTCTTGTCTTTGAAGGTGAAATGTTCCAGGACTCTGTCTGAAGAGGAATTTTTAGGGAGAGTTCAAGCAAAATCTCCTTAGCCACTTATTGAAGGAGAGAAGAGCAAAAATACAAAACCATTAAAAAAATCCCTCCTCTTATAAACAATCAAGGCAGTTTGAGCATGATTCACTGGAGCTGAGGCTTGGAGGCCAGGCAAAGTGTGCTTGAAGATTTTGAATGTTTCTTTCCATCTGCCTTGTCTGCAGCTTGTGGTAAGCAGAGATTTACAGGACAAAATTGTTAAAAACAAAAGTCTGGCTTTAAATGATTTGCTCAATTTTGACATTTCTCTCTTTCATAATCCTCTTCTATCAATCACATGCTCAGGAAAGACGTGTCCTGGAGGCCAGTTTTATCTCACCTTGGGTGAAACATACAGCACGTAAGGTCAGGCATGAAGCCATTTGGGTGCCGTCAGAAGCGAGGCTGAAGCTGCACCAGGGCCCTCAGTTTTCTGTAAAAGAAGCCTAAGCTGAAGGATCCTCAAACTGATTTTGAAAGTTGGAGGCAGTTTGCCATGCTTGTGCCTTGGGGGTGAAGGTTGAACAAGGAGCAGAGATGAGCACTGGCACTTCTGAACGTTAAGCCTTTTGTTTTTGCAATACCAGAAAGATGACAGGGTTTAAAATCATTTTCCTTTAACCTTGGAATCTCAACTGTTTATACAGCGGAAAGTTCAGCTGACGTGTTCCTCTAATCACCTCCGGCAGGGTGAGCAGTAAGTGCCAGACCCCAACAGAAAGCCCTAACGTCCCAGTGACAGGAGGCCGCCAGTGCCCTACATAGCTGAGCAGTGATATAAGAACCCTTTTTTATCAGGTCCTTGTCATCACTTTGTCCAATATGTTTGAGAGGACAATACCCAGTGCATTAGAAACAGCCCCAAGCAAACACCATTCTGCCTGAGATTACAGCAGAGACATGGGATCATGAAACAACATGGCCAGCCCCGGGCTGAACGAGAGCAACAGATAAGGGCAGCACTCCCTGCTCCATGCAGGCCCCCAGTATCAAACAGCAGGATGCAGCACATTCCTGTCATGCTCCAGGCTGCTGCTGTGTCCTGAAGGTCCCCTGGGCTCTGTGCTTTGGTACGTTTTCTCCTCACATGTCTATGGAATGCCAGCACAGTGGAAGTCTTGCAGATCCCCAAGTCCCTTTTGCTTGAACTGATTATTTCCAAGAAAGGATGCCCACACTTGTCTCTAGACATGGGGAGCAGCTATCACCCAGTCTGAGGAGCAGACTGCACTGCCTTGCACTTCCTCAGGGAAGGTAAAGCTTGGGTACTGTGTCCGATGGCAACTGTAGAGAAAAGGGGACAGGCCCTATCTCCAAACACAAGGAAGAACACCAGGCCCTGCGGAGCAGGAGGACAGAGGCCCTCCCCAGCACACTATTGATCTCATATCCCTGTGCCTGTCTGCCTCAGAGCTGCCATGGCAAGGATGCTCTTGAGTTGTCCAAGCAGAAAAAGCAACTCCTCTTCAACACCAGGGTCCCAGAGGAGGCTAGTGCTGGTGATATGCACACCGCTCAGGATGGGGACAGGCAAATAGGGCACAGAGCCATGTTGTCACAGGATACCAGCAAGTGCTGTCTAAGCAGGATCTCTTCCCAACAGGAGCTCACGGCAGGCAGCACACCCTCCACAGGGGTCCAGCTGCTGCTGGTGGCTCAAAGAGCCTTCCTGGGGTGGGCAGCCAGGACTCACCCACCCTGGCACCACGAGCTGGGGCAAGCAGAGATAACCTTTATCTTTCAGATAGGGGCAGGGGTCAGAGCAGGAGGGTGCGTGTCAGTGAGAAGGTGCACATTGCTAGACCAGCAGCACAGACAGGTGGAGGTTTGTCCCCAGACCCTTCCTATTTCCCCATTTGTCACTTTGGTATCAGTGTGCCAAGCTGCCTGACAAAAGCCAGATGTGAGCACGAGGAGATTATGAGCATGGCCATGCTGCTCCTTCCTGAACCCCCCACCTGCAGCCCTCCCAAGCCTCACATGAGAGCTTTTCTTTTTCAACACTTCATTTATCAGTAAAAGCCTGGGGTCAAGAGCTTTTGCCCATCTGACTAGGATATGGTATGCTGGGAGCTTTGCAGAGGGGAAAAGCAGTGTCTGGGGCAGGCTTTGTGGCAATCAAGAAGTAATGGCAGCGACTTGAAGCATTTCATGTGGGTGAAGCTTGTGGACAGACACCAGACCTGGAAGCTTCTGTCCAGCTGCAGCCAGGTGCACACGTGTTGACTCTTTTGCCAGGCTGTGTCACCCTCCAGCTTCAGTTCTTCCTCTGAGGACAGAGTTCCATAAGTGTGATCAAGATGCTTGGCTGATCAAGGAGCGAGACCCTATTGCCCCTCTCCCCATTGCAGTCCAATGGCAGGATAGGGTAGCCGAGCTGTTCCTGTGCAGCCCAGCAGGCCTGTAGTCTCTGAGAATGCCTCCTGCTCTGCCAGGCCAAGCTCCTCCTAAGAAATGCATTACCCACCAGCTTCCTTCATCAGCCATGGGGCCACGGCCTACGGGCTCCTTTCCTTGCCATACTGCAGCCTTGTCCTCGGTTTGAGGTGGGATGAGGCATGTGAACACATCAAGCACTGTGCCTTTGGCCTGCACCCAGATCTTAAAAAGATTGGCACACATGGGAAACAGAAACAGTCCTCTGGGCCCAGCCCACGGGGCGCAGACATTGCTGTGTGATCCGAGCACTCCTCGCGCTGCCTTCCGCTCACCCCATCCCTGCCACCAGCAGATGCACACACTGTTGTGCCGCACACAACGGGAGCAGCAGGCAGGCGGCCATTGCTGTTGCAGGCAGGGCAGCCGGGCACATACCTGACGTCCACCTCTCTTTGCCGGGCAGGCACGCAGGTGAATTTCTCCAAGCCATCTGATGCGTTTGCCTTTGAGGAGGACAGCAGCAATGACGGCCTGTCCCCAGAGCAGGCCAGGAGTGAGGACTCCCAGGGCTCCACAGAGTCATCAGCAGGCACCAAATCCTGTGAGCTGCCGCCCTCGGCCCCCTCAGGGCCGTCCCAGGTGGGTGGCACCACTGGAAAGCTGCGCTTCCCCGCTCTGGTGGGCAGCAGCATGGCTCCCCAGTATGAGGGCACAGCTGGGCTGGGGAGATGGAGGGGCTGTAGGGATGGACTGGGGCACTGAATGCGACTGGGAAGGCAGTGAGGTGGCAACACTGAAGCTGGGCTTGAGGGAACTGAGATGGACTGGGGGAATTGAGAATGCTGGGTTAAGAGGCACTGGGATGAGATGTGCTCTAGGCTGGGAGGACTGTGGGAGCTGGAGGGACTGGGTTGCCCTGAGGTAAACTATAGAAGATTGCATGTCAGGCGTGAAGTATCCTGGGGAACTGGAACACTTTGGGCAGAGGAATGGGTCCAAAGGGCCCGCACCTGCCCCACGTGCCCTCTCACAGTGCACCTCTCCCTTCCAGGATCACCCCCGTGGCACTGAGGGCAGCACAGTGGAGCTTGCCTCAAGCCAGAGCGGCCAGTGCGACAGCCCCAAGCAAGCAGTGGGGCAGGACAGCCCACCTCTCCCAGTGCCCTCTGTGGTGAAGGTAAGGTCTGCATATCCACACTCCCTGGCAGAGTGCTGCATCCCATGTGACTGGGAAATTTGAGGGCTTGGTCTTAAAGGTCTGGAATAATGAGGAGAGATGGATCCCATTTTGAAGTTATAAAAGGTAGAGCTTTGCTACTTGCTAGAGGTGACTGCTCAAGTTCTGCATGGGAAAGATTCCCTGGGTTTGGGAGTTGGAAATATAAGGTAATGCAGAAATACCATAGAGGCAAAGAAGGCCTTTTTCCATCCCATGTATTCTTCAGCACAGCTGGGATTAGATGTTGCCCTGGAGAAATCCCTTGCATGCCTGATCAGCTGCTCGTGGAGCTGGGCTGTCAGGGTGCCAGCAGGACGTGCCCTTGCTCTATCCAGGCCTCCCAGTTCCCATAGGAATGTCAAGAGCTCTTCTCTCAGCTAATTCCTTTTCTTCTGGAACCAACAGTCAAAATCATCCAGTGACAGCAAGAACCGTCACAAAAAGCCCAAGGACACCAAGCCGAAGGTGAAGAAGCTGAAATATCACCAGTACATCCCTCCAGACCAGAAGGCAGAGAAGTCCCCTCCACCTATGGACTCTGCATATGCAAGACTCCTCCAGCAGCAGCAGCTCTTTCTGCAGCTCCAGATTCTCAGCCAGCAGCAACAGCAGCAACAGCAGCAACAGCAGCAACAGCAGCAGCACTTCAACTACCCAGGGATGCACCAAGGCCAGATAAAGTGAGTGACGATGTGCCAATAGCAGGGTTTAGTACTATCTCCCTCCAAACATTCCTCTTCCATTTCCATTTGTGCCAGTGCATTGGAGATAAATACATGTAAGGTATACATGGTAACCTCCCAAAAAGCTGTTCTGACTTTGTGAACTAGCTGGGGAACCTGTGACCTGCTGGTAGGATACCAGCAATCTCCTTGCAGCCCAAACTGGTTTTCCTCAGGGTTGGCAGTCCTTCAGGTCTCATACAGGGAATAAGAGCCCCAAAGGAGCAGGGAGATGGTACATCATAGCAATGGGCACAGAGCCCCCAGAGGGCAGCCTTGTTACCCCGTATCTCCTTTGTTATTTCAGGCAATCAAATGAGCAAATGATCAAAAGTTCAAATGCTTCATCAACTTCTGTCAGCAACACCCCTCTTTCTCCTGTGAAAACCACCTTTTCAGGCCAGACTTGTGTCTCATCTATCAAGCCAGGCCCTCTGCCGTCTAACCTGGATGATCTGAAAGTAAGTGAAGACTTTGTCAGCACAGGAGCAGAATTTTATAGCCTGCATGTTCGTTGCTACTCTTATGTGTGCAGTGTAGTTACAACAACAATGCAGGTTGTGCTGACAGGGACTGTGTGTTATAGACCAGCGTGTACCACCACACTGTGAGCAAACCAAGGTGTGCGGAACAATGGTGCAGGAGTTGGTCAGGATGGTGATAACTAAAAACAGAGATTTGCTCCTATGTGGGCATCACATGTGTGCACTGCTCCAGTGGATGTATCAGCAAACCCTACATCTCGAGACAGCTGCAGGCCAGAACATCAGGTCCAGGACTAGAAGACAATCTGTGTTGCTGTTCTGACAGCTCATGACCCCACAGCTTCTGTAGTATTATAGTGGATATCTTGGATACTGCCAACAGAACAGACAGAAAATAGGTCAGCACGGCCTTCACACCCATCCAGTGACTCAGCTTCTCTGCAGCCATTGCCCATGCTAAGACCATGATGCTGCAACTCCTCTGCCAGCAGCAGTCAGGCCAGGTCCACTCACTGCACAGGCAGGTATCTCCAGAGACTGCAAGTGTGAACACTGAGTAGTATCTAAACTTCTCACGTAGGCAAGGGCACAAGGGAGAATCATTCAAATCAACGATTGGGGTTTCTTAATAGAGCTTCCACTATAGGGAAGACCAAGTCTTTTTAGGAGCAGAGACCTTGGGATAATGGATTTCTCTATCACTATAAGATGGGAAAATAAAATGAGATAGAAAAAACATGAATTTGGCCATAGAAAAAAGTTCTTGAGGTTCTTGAGAAGCATGTGGACAACACTCTTAGACACAGGGTTTGATGTTTGGGTGATCCTGTGTGGTGCCAGGTGTTGGACTCACAGGATAGTTCCACCTCAGACTATTCTATGATCGTATGATTCTGTGAGTCTGTGATTCTATGACAGTGATAACATTGATTAGATACCTGAGCCTGGTTCAGATATCTGAACATGGAGCAGCTAGCTCCAAATGTATGCAGTCATGTTGTCTGAGTTAAAGAATGCCATCATCTTGTTCCTGGGCTGTGTTGAAAGTCCTCCACTCATGTAGAAACTTGCTGCGAGGAAGGGAATCCTGGGTTACCTCCATGGCCCAAAGACCACTGCTGGCTCATTGAGAGCAGTAAGTTTCTAGCAGAAGAAGGAAGGTTTTCCCATTAGGAAGGCTCAGGATTCTGCAAAATATATGGTGATCACCACACTGTGCGTGGTGACTGAGTGCCTGGGAAGCCCGAGCAGGGAACCTGTGATGTCAGGTTTCTAAAGCGCTTGCCTTTAAGGGAAAGCATTGGGAATGATTGTTGATGACTTTTCTTCTAGGTGTCAGAACTGAGACAGCAGCTCCGAATAAGAGGCCTGCCTGTATCAGGTACCAAAACAGCACTGATGGAACGGCTACGGCCCTTCCAGGAGTGCAGCAGCAATGCAGTGCCGAATTTCAGTGAGATCACAACTGTCACCTTTCCAGTCACTCCAACAAGCACCTTGTCAAATTACCAGTCGCAGTCTTCCACAGGCATGTTATCAAATGGCTTCTACCACTTCGGCAGCACCAGCTCCACTCCACCCATCTCTCCAGCTTCCTCTGACCTCTCTGTGAGCGGCTCTCTGCCAGACACATTCAACGATGGGCCCATGTCTTCTCCACAGTTTGGTCTTCAGCCATCTCCAGTTCATGGTAGTGCTGAGGAAAGCCTGATGAGCAGCATGAATGGAGGGAGCATCCAGCTGGAGCTGGAAGGGATTGACACAGAGAAAGACAAGATGCTGGTGGAGAAGCAGAAGGTCATCAATGAATTGACGTGGAAGCTGCAACAAGAGCAGAGGCAGGTAGAAGAGTTAAGGATGCAGCTGCAGAAGCGAAAGAGAAGCAATGGCCTTGAGGAGAAACAACAGCCCTCCCAGCATTTCTTTGGTGTCCCCATCAAGCAAGAAAATGCAGTGTCCAGCTGCCCATTTGCATCCAAACAAACTGCCTTGAAAGGCCAAGCCAGCAGCTCGGATAAGTTAAGTAACTGTGGGGTGCCGCAGCTCTCTCACATTGTAAATAGCCACTGCTTGGAGCCTGCGGGGCAAAGCACCATCACCTCCTCGACATTCCTGAGCCCGCAGTGCTCCCCTCAGCACTCTCCACTCGGGGCTGCAAAGAGCCCTCAGCACATCAGCCTGCCGCCATCCCCCAACAGCCACTATCTCCTGGCAGTGTCCCCCGGCTCACAGGCAGAAGGGCGCAGCACATCGCCTCAGACCAGCAGTTGCCTTCGCACGGCATCGGTAAGTGGAGAGCAACCCAACTGTCATCTCTGTGGTGAGCACACATGGGTCTGTGGGCATTCACCAGACGTCTCTGTTTGAGCTCTTTCCTGTCAGTGCTGGCATCTTGATGGGCACCCAGGGGGCCACAGGAACACAGTGAGCTGTCTGTAGGGGCAAAATAGCTGAGATGGAGAATGGGTTGGAAGCTGATGGCACTGCAGGGTTCTTTACAGGGCATTTCCTAGAGAGCCTTGCTGCCTCCACATCCAGTTGCCCTGGGGGGCCAATCACAGATCCTCTGCCCCGTGGAGCCTTGGCACAGCTCCTTCTGCCCCAAGTGAGCACTGGCAGAGTTCTCTGTGCCCTGCGAGAGTCCTGGCACAGCGTCCCCTGCCGTGAGGGGACCTGGCACAGCTTTCTGCCCTGGGGAAGCTTTGGCACAGCTTCTTCTGTCCTAAAGGAGCCCTAGCTCATCTCCCACTCCCCTCAGGGGAGGCTCTGGCTCAGCTTGCTGTGCCTCTAGGGGAGCTCTGGCACAGCTCCCTCTGCCCCACGAAGTCCTGGCTCATCTCCTTCCACCTGGGGAAGACCTGGCACAGCTCTCTCTGCCCCAAAGAGCCCTGGCACAGCTCCTTCTGCCCCATGGAGTTCTGGCACAGCTCAATCCACAAAGGGGAACAACCAGCACAGTTCCCTCAGCTGCTGGGAGGTCCCTGCTCTCCTGGGGGAACCCTGCCACAATGCAGCAGGGCTCATTAACATCTTGCTAAGCCATTGCAGCTGCTAACAGTGCAACAGTGTATTTTGAATATTGAGTTGAAGGAGGGTAATTCTCCCGATCATATGGGAAGTCTTTTCTTGGGAATAGAGCAGGACTTGCCACTGGGGTCTGCAAACAGGGGCATGTTCCCCCCAGGCCACTAGCACAGCAGCGTGGTCCCTTCAGTGTCTCCACTCCTCATTCAGCCCTCAGGATGAGTGTGAAAGCTTGTAGAGGGGCACGTGCTGCCAACATATAAAAGTAGCATAAGATGCCACTGATCACAGCCCCATTTCATCCCAACACCTTACTGGGGCAGCATGGCACCTACTGTGAAACACCCAGTACTCACACAGGACAGCTCCTGAGTCACAGTCCCACAGCTTGCACACAGAGCAGTGTGCTGTGTGAGTGTGGAAGGCTGCAGGGTGATAAAGTAGGATGCAGCCTGTCATGAAGACAGTGATGTACAGGACACAGGCAGTTGGTCTGTCAGTGAGATGGGCAGAGAGGAGCAGTGCTGTAGAGGTGAGACAGGCAGAGAGAGTGCTGCAGTGGGACAGGCGGTGGTGTATGGAGCTGTAGGTGAAACAAGCAGTGGGACTACACTGTGGTGCAGTGGGCAGTGGGGTGCAGCACTGTGGAACAATACTCCAAGAGAGGTAGTGGGGCTGCTCTGAACAACCAAGCAGACACAGGGCATCAGCAGGAGGAATAACACCTCGGGGACTCCTCCAGTTCTTTCCCCACTGCCAGAGCACAAGGGGCACGCTCGAGGGGTGATTGCAGTGCCCTGCTGCTCATCCTGGTTGTGAAATCACTGTCCTGGGCTTTCCTTATGAAGGGCACCTGTGGGCTTGAAGGCAAGGAGGAACAGCAGCTAGCAGGCACCTTTGGGTAAGGAGTGAGGTCCCTCCTGGAAGGGAGTGGCCTCTTCTTGGCAAAAAGCTGGCACCAGTACACAGCTGTTTGGCCTGGGCATGGGGAAGGCCTGTAGGCTGATCTGGCAGTGACTCTTTTGGGCTGCCTGCCCTGGCCTGTGCTCCATGAGATCTCCCAAAAACAGTGGTGACAGAGAAGGTCCCCAAAAGAGGGAGGTGAGAGGCAGCTTGTGGCTAGAGGAGCATTGCTATCCTGGATGCAGCCACTATCTCTCTTGCTCTGCACGTTTACAGCTGAGCTGAGTTTTGGAGAATCATGCTCATGATTCTGGATTCTTCTGGGGTCCTCAGAGCTCATCCAAGGAGTTATTCCCCCTATGTTTCCTGCCTAGAAACCAGGCACTGTGAGCTGACTTGATCCACAACACCCTTAGTTTTCCTGGTGCTGCTCTGGCTTCAGCTAAGGTGACACAGAGTGTCCTGCATGCTGAGGAGCAGAATCTTTTCCCTGCATTGATTCCATTTCCCCGTATTTCCCCCATGCAGATGACTACACAGGCAGGTCAAAAGTTTTCAGTTCCGTCCCCAAGTTTTTGTAAGTCAAGCACAGCCCTCTCAGAGCAAAAGCAGTCTCCACCATGTGAGATGCAATAAAGCAGGTAACTGCCTGATTTTTACTTTCAACAGGGCCAGAGCTGTGCAGAGTGGTTAAGGCAGCTGCAGGGACTACAACCCTCTATGGGGTCTCTGAGGAGTACAGGCCTTTTTCCATAAGGGGCAGCCTTTCTGTGGAAAGCTACTAAATGGTTGTCACAGAGCAGTCCAGCTAAATGGGGTTTGTGGAAGTGAAAGTTGCCTGGTGTCCTGACATGCCACACAAATGTCCCAAAACTCAGGGGCACTCCTCCTGGGGTGCTCAGTGCTATGTGACAAACAGACTCTTGAGCCACTCTCCAGGAAACCTCACCTACCCTCTGTAGCCCATTGGTAAAATCCCACCCCAGACCATCTGCTGCCCTTAGCCATATCCTGGAGTGCTGCTTCTGTGGGGAACACCTTCTCCACCACCTGCACACGCATCACTTCTTGTGAGAGCCTGTCAGCAGCCTCAGTGCCAGTCATGATGGTGTTTTTAGGAACATGGAGCAATACCACTGACAGTGATGAGAACTGGCTTATGCTGGCTGCAAGATGTGTGGGCAGTCCTTCCAGTCTGCAGTCAGGGAGAAGAGGATGCTGTTTCGTTGTCCCCAGTGCAGGGAGTGGGAGCAGGCACGTCTCAGTGCTAGGTGCCAGGTCCAGAAAATCTTTGTCCTCATTGCTCTGGGGAGAGGCAGTCTGCAGCAGCTGCTGAGCACAGCTTGGCTGCAGGTCAGGGGGAACCTATTGCAGTGCTGTCTGGATCTGCTGCACTTGTCCTTGATCTCTGAGTGCTTATCTGAATGCCACTGCCAGACCCCTGCATCTCTTGTGGGGTCCAGAGCCACCTACTTGGTGCGTGGCTGGAGGGACTCTCCTCCTAATGCCCTCTACTCTCCTCTTTGCCGTTTGCTGCAGCAGATGACTCGAAGTCAGCAGATGGACGAACTCCTGGACGTGCTGATTGAGAGCGGAGGTACGCACTGCTTCTCTGACCCCTCCAGGGCTTCTCCTCTATCAGGTGTAGGTCTGTGGGGCCCTGAGCTCTCGGCATGCCTCCAGGAGCTGCCTGAGCTGGGTATGGTTTTCATTTGCTGCCCTACACCAGGATCCCACACAGAGATTGACTCCAAAATCACATGGGGCCTGTACTGGTGAGAAAGCCTGCCAGAGCCTGTGCCCACAGACTCCCGAGATCAGTGCAGGCGTCTGGGCTTGGGAACCTGCTCAGAAAGGATGGCAGTGTGTCACAGAGCCTCTGCTGCCCTCCTCTCCCAGTGCTGCCAGTGCCATCTCCCACGCAGAGCACCATGGTGCCCTCCCCTGTGCAGATTGCTACCTGTGCCCTTTTTAATGCATGACCAACCCATGCCTATCTCCATGGGGACAGCTGCCAGTGCTTGTCCCTGGAGATGGGTTCCAAAACTGGGGGAGCTGAGATCAGGAAGAGGAAATGCGAGGTGCTTCCCATAGAGAGGATGGGTGGGTGATGCCAAAGGGATAGAGTTGGGTGTGGGTCCCTGCAGGCATGCCTAGCCCAAGAGCCTTGCTCGGGGGTCTCAGCAGTGCCTCCTGCCCAGCAGTGACAAGGACTGACAGAACACCTAAATTCCCTCTTGTTTCTTGAACAGAAATGCCAGCCAACGCCAAGGAAGATCGGTCCTGCCTCCAGAAAGTACCTCAGATAACAGTGTCTACAGGGAACTCCAGCACTCCGCTCCCAAAGTCGTCTGCTCCATTCGAACAGGTCTCCTCCACCCAGCACCCATTCGAGCACTGTCCAGGTGGTGGCGATGCTCACCTTGAGGTCCTGCTGAACGCCCACAGCCCACTGGGGAGAGTTGGTGAAATCACCCTGCTGAAGATGGGAGGAGAGGAGTCCCACTTCGAGGGGATGATAGAGGGGTTCTCCAGCAAAGCCGCAGATGAACTGCTCACATCACAGGAGATTTTACAGACTCCCCTCTCACCCATGGAAACGCAGCTCTCCCCTTCCCCTGCTGATGGCTCCGGTTTACAAATGAGTTTCACCGAATCTCCATGGGAAACGATGGAGTGGCTGGACCTCACCCCCCCCAGCTCCGCCACTGGCTTCAGCTCACTCACTCCCGCAGGCCCCAGCATCTTCAACATTGATTTCCTGGATGTTACTGATCTCAATTTAAACACCAGCATGGACCTCCACTTGCAGCAGTGGTGAACAGGAGGGCAGTGGAGGCAGAATACTGTGAGCCCACAGCAGCCAGCACAGTGTTTCTGTCATGCTGGAGAACTTGTAGGGCTAACATGCCACGTTCAGGGGAAACTGGAGCCATTTTCCCGGTGAATAAACTTGTTTGAATTTTCAGTTACTGCAAACTGACAGCACAACAGCTCTGGTACTTCGGTTTTCTTCCACTGGCACATCTTCACAAAGGATACTAAGTGCCTTTATCAACACTCCTTTAGATTGACAGTTGTCTATAACTTTGTTTTTGTTCTTTTTATCTTTCTCCCCCCCAGTTTTAGCATACACTCCCATGAGAACTGGAGCAGCTCACGACAAAACCACGTGGTGAGGCGAGCTCACCTGAGAAGCAACAGGGAAGCAAGCACACAGAGGTTGCTGTCCTGCTGCCTCCTGCATCCCACAGGGCTCCCCTCAGCCTTGCCCATGTCAGGAGGGCTGGGAGCAGGGTGGCACAACGGCTTTGCCCAGCCAGGGCAGTAAGCACATCCCTGTGTACAGCCAGACTCAGCTCGTGCCCTTCCTCCTACCCCCAAAGCCCCAGAGCTGTGCTGCCCCAGTCCCTGCATAACTGTATGAGCAAGCAAGAGATGGAGTCTGCCATGTTCATGGTGGTGTCTTGGGACGTTCTCAGACTGTTTGGGGGGCCAAAAGCTGAAGAGCTGAGCTGACAGTCTGAGCTGAGTCAGACTGCAGCCCAAGACCTTGGAGCAGAGATTTGGATGCTGGAGGCAGCCATTCAGGCTGCAGGTGCAGATGTTGAAGGGATGTGGCATTCCAGTGGAGCTGGCATGGCTCAGCTCGTGTGGTACAGATAAAGAGATGTGTAATGTGTTGTGGTCCAAGGTAGGAGCAGGTCATATGGACAATCCAGCACAGTTTTGGAGGGGTTGGCCCTGCAGAGCCACAGTGTGGGGTGGCTCTCCACCACCGAGCAGGAGCAGGAGCAGCCCCCCTCCTGCATGTGGGGCAGGGCTGAGCAGGCCCTCATGGGGCTGTGATTTTGTGTGTGCATCTGCTTTTGCTGTCTCCGCTCTCTGCCATCCAGAAGGCTTCCTTCTTCCCTTCCTTCTTGATCCTCAGCAGCGATTTTCTTCTCTCCTGAGTTTACTCCGGCATCACCCAGCTCAGAGCAAGGCTGTCTGGAGAACAGCTGTGAATCACTGAGCCTAGAGGAGCTCGTTCTTCTGAAGCCAGCGGAGATGGATGCTCTCCTGCAGTGATGCCTCCAGTTTGAAGTCACCAGCATTTCTCCTGCGAGTCTCTGTGCAATATCCTTCCTCAGGCTCCAGCGAGAAGGAGCCTTCGCTTCACGTCTTGGCTGCCACCAAAGAACTTGCTGCAGACTCTTTGACGGACACGTTGGCTTTGCAATTCTGGTTTTGCCAAAGTAAATATTGTTGCTGACAAAGATTGTTAAACTATTTACAGACTGAGTGTATTTAATATTTGTGTTACTGGAAGGACAGCGCATCGGTGACGCGGCGCTGTGGAGGTGCACCGTGGGCACACCAAGCATCCCTGCAGCCCCACCGTGTCCCCGGCTCGTGGCGATGTTGCATGCTGTATAAAGAACACGGCAGTAGCTTTTAAGTCACTATTTAAAGCATCACTTTTCTATTGTACAAATGGTCACAGTGCACTGCTAGGATAGACGATCACAGGTTGCGTTTTTTTTTTTTTTTTAATTCCTTTTTCTAAGGGAGAAATTTTTAGAAGCTGTCCCATGGAGAATATTAATAGCACTTGAATCAGAGTAGGGTTAGCTGCTACACTGCGCCGTTGTACAGGGCTTTCCAGGTAACTTTCTCCTCTCAACAAATGTATTTCCTTATTTAAAGGGATGCTGTCAGCTTCGAACTTGTAAACAAGCACATTTCCTTACCTATGTTACCAGCAACACCTTCATTATTAAAAACCCCTTTGCCTTGCCACTCTGCCTGCTCGCAGTCTGATGCTCGATTCCACCCACCTGGGGCAGGACAGCTATCAACCCCCCCAACCCCCACCTTCCTTACAGATGTTTGCCTTTGAAGGAGATGGATGAGGGATGGGGATCCATCCCCGCAGGACAAACTGACGGCTGCAGCATAGGACGGCTCAGGTCAGAGGGGCCTTTAAAGGTTATATAGTTCCAACCCCTGCCATGGGCATTGTTACCACCCACCAGAGCACACTGCCCAGAAAGGAAAATCTGTACTTGAAGATTTGTACGCAACTCCTGCAGCCCTTCCCCTGTGTCTGTGGGGTTCTCCTGGGTCTCTCTGTCTCAAATCCTCCCAACACAGACACAGCCCTGTGCTCCCAGGGGGGATCCTTCTCCCCACACCCACTCATGACCATGTCCAGCTTCACCATACCGCTCCCTCAATTCAACGAGTTTTCCCAGGACACTTCCTGCCTGCTTGCAGGGGAAGTTTCCTGCCTGTCCCAAGATGGGCTTAAAATGTGGGATGATCCAGAGACTCTGATCCAGAAAAGTGAACCAGAAAGTTGTAGGTGACATACCAGCTAGTTCATAGGTGTGGCTTTTAATCTCATTAACCATACACTGCATTAAAAAACTCCATTGTGATAAACTCCCTAGGCTGAGCCAAGCTCTGCAGCCCTGTGCCATGCCATGGTGCTCTGCATCTGGCAGCACTCCCACCTGTGCTCCGTGCCCTCATGCAGGGCAGTGCTGGGCTGCTCTGTGCCCGCTGCTCCACTGCTCCAGAGCCAGCAGCCCTGGTTGTGCCCACCTGGTTTTCCCACACAGCCCTTCCCAAGGGATTTAAGGTCCAGGGATTTTGCTTCCTGCTGCAGCTGAGCAGCAGATCCCATGATGTCCCATGCTGGGTTTTACATACGTCCTCTTTGTTTAAGGCTTTGTATAAGGCTTTACCCTACCCCAGTGACATTCCTTTGTGAGCAGTGACCAACACCTCCGAGCTGCATGCAGCCCTGGGCTCTGATCCCCCTGTGCGGTCATTTCAGGTCCAACTGCACCCCACACCTGGCTTCTGCTACATCGTCTTTCACTATAGGGAGGGCTGGCTCTTCCTACACAGAGTAACTACTCAGAATTATTAGTTATTAGTTACAAAATATACCATACATAGCTGTGTGGTACATCACACAATTCTAAGAAAGCTAAAACAAAGCAAGTAATGGTTATGCCCTTGTTAGATAATTGCTGTTAGAGCTGAATGAGCCAAAGCAAAGCTCCCATCTGGCCACAAGGAGCCCAGGTGCACTACAGCAGCAGAGGGCCTCACCAGAGGCTGCTCAGCACTTCCTGAGCTGCTCAGCAGTAAGAAAGAGCTGTCCAGGGACATACAAACTTCTCCCACTCCGTTGGATGAGCCCTTCCAAGCAATTCCCCTTCCTAGTGCCAAGCTGAGCCAGTGCAGGGAAATAGTTCCAGCACCACTCACTGGAAATGCACTGCTGAGCATGCATTCTTGCAGGAACCAGAAACTGGCTGCACTTCAGGATGGTTTCCACCAACATCTTGGAACTGGGATCAATTGCAAATGTCTTCAGGAAATCACTGTGATGTGGAGTCCCAGAATCGGGAGGGAGGGAGGGAGGGAGAAGGGAGAGATAAAGGAAGGAGGGAAGGAAGGAAGGAAGGAAGGAAGGAAGGAAGGAAGGAAGGAAGGAAGGAAGGAAGGAAGGAAGGAAGGAAGGAAGGAAGGAAGGAAGGAAGGAAGGAAGGAAGGAAGGAAGGAAGGAAGACAAAGAAAGGTGGAGGGATGACATAGGATCCTGGTGCAGGGAGTTAAAAGATCTGTCTCACATATACAGAAGGCTAAGGTACAGCAGCCTAATAAAACCATCACAGTTTTCTCCGTGTTTTGGTATTGTTACTCTTAAAGCATCATCAATTGGTTGAGGGGTGTTTGCCGGCACAGAGCAGCACTCTGGGTCATGCTTCTGCAGATCCCTGAGCTCTCAGCATGCCTGAGTCAGCAGGACTAGGAGCGCTCATGAACAGCTCTGTAAATACGTGGTGGCCCTCATAAACACCCAACAGCCTCTCAAGACAGACCACTTATAGTCAGTACAATGCAGAACTGCTTGGTGTGCTGCACATGGATTTTCAATCCATCTTGAGTCTGGTGAGAAATCTGTCTTCCTTGGAAGGTCAGTCAGGATCTCCTCCTCTTCTCACAATATCCAGCCAAACACAAACTGGGATGATGTTGTATTATTGGGCTCCATCAAGGTGCACTCCCATCCGGCCAAGAGAGGAACTGCCTCCATGGACGGCTGTGGCAGCAACCTTTCCTCCCAGAAAGCAGAGAAAGCACGTCCCATCCAACAGCCAGCTCTGTATTTTACTCCCAGTACAACAGTGGCACAGTGACCACCAGAAAAGGGAGTTGGTGCTTCAGCTTCTGTCTGCACAGCCTTAAAATGGCAAAAGTCAGGAGCTGCTTTCTGTTCTTATTCACCAGAGCAGCCATTCCATCTTTCCCAGGGCCCTTCGCACATTCAAGGCAATGACCACGCTTGGGGTTTGTGTCTAGATTCATAATGAAAATTGAGCTTTTTTCCAAAGTGGTGCCTATGGGGGGAACCTAGGCCTCTTACCAAGCAGTCAGAGGAGACAAAGCAGGAAGGAAGGCTGGCGAAGCAAAGATGAGTGGAAATGTATACGACACAACTCACAAGTGCTGCAGATGAAGTAGTCAGGGTGCCCATGTCCATCCATACTGCTTATGTCCACGCAGAGTGGAGTTTGAACTCATCAAAACCTTAGAGTCTTGGAGTCCCATAGACACATCATAAATGTCAATGAGCACAATATCTATTTCATGGGTGCTATATAATATCTGGTGAGGGTATCAGGAGTGCTTCAGTCCCGCACTTAGGAATAAAGACATGAGGAAGTGGTATGAAGTGTGAGACTGGGCCACTGTGCATGACAGCAGCCCTTGGTGGCCCCAAGCCTACCTGGAAGTTAGAGCTGCTCCTCAGCCATGGCTGAGTACAGAAACTAGGGCAGCCTCCAGTCCATGCAGTGGTACAGAGGGTAAGCAAGAGCTGAGATGTGTGGAGCTTGCTGGGTTATCTGCAGGGGGACTCCCAACTTCAGGGTTGGAGGTAGCCATTGTAGCCCACTTATACCAGGAATGCTGGACTGGTTCAAGGCTCAGAGCAACAGCAACAGCAGCACTGCTCGGGCACGGGTCCTGTCCAAGACACTGAAGATGCATCTGGAAGTGGGGTCAGAGGTTTCCCATACCACCTATGTAGGCAATAATGTGATGATAATAGCCCTTGGTGAAGGCAGAGCAGTCCAAGTGAGTCAACAGGAAAAAAGCCCAAGCATGGATTCTATGGGGAAACTGGGAGAACCTGAGGCGACGACACAGTCCTTCTTACATGCCACACAGCCACAGGGAGAAAGAGACCAGCAGGGTCCTCTGCATTCTGAAAAGCATGGGGATGCCCAGTTCAGTTCTGCCATGTCACTTTTGGTTTCTTGTCCACTGAGACAGCTTCTCCAGAACAAACCTCAGCACACAGAGGCAGCTGTTGGTGCAGAAGGAACAGAATTGATGTTTATGGAGCTGGAAGGAGCAGGCCCTGCAGCATCTGACCTTGCTCCCCAGTGCTTGGTGGGTTTTGACTTTTGCCTGTAAATCACTGGATCTGGAATCTTGGGTTATGGATAAAGAGTGGGAACAGCAAGCAGCCCAAAAACGTCCCAGTATTGTGCTAGGAACAGGAAACTTCCAAAACAACCTTGATGTGTCAGAACCACAGAATGTATTTAAGCTGACAGACTTCAATCATCTCAAGTCTTTCTCACTGTGTATCTCTAACACAAGTCCTTCTCTGGCTCCACTGCCTGCCTTCCCTTCTCTTGACAAGACTGTCACCCTTCAAGTGAAGGGTGAGAGCCAATGCCAGGTTACTCCACCAGTCCCTAAGAACTGAGCTGTGATATGACCAACAATCCCTGCCAGCATGCTCTTGTTCTTCCCTGAACAAAACCTCAGTCCCATTCAGTCAGTTTGATGTTAGAGGCACTCGTGGACAGCCCCATTCCCCAACACTGTGTTCATCTCTGTGGGGTTGATTATGGGGTCCAATTCTGCTCACTCACCTGGAAGGTCTCCAAGTTCTCCGTGACCTCCAGGCACAGACCCATATCCCAGCACCCAGAGGCTTGGCAGTAGAAATTACCCAGGACTCGGTACTCTTAAATCTGGACACTGCAGACAGCAGTGAGTGCTCTCCCATACATACAAGAAGCCTGCGAGGCCGTGAGCATCACTGCCCTTTCCCCAGGCTGTGGGTGCAGCCACCGGCCCTCCTCACAGGGACAAGATGTCCTGAGCCATTTCTGCCCCTTTGCCTCCCCCAGAGGAAGGGCTGGAAGTCAGGGATTTCTCTGGCTCGTAACACATCTCCCCACTTATGTCTGACCTGACACAATGAAAATAACGAGGGCACGGTCGCATCCTATTTTTATTACAACTGACCTGCAGGCAAAAGGATAGAACTATTACATAAACACTCTGATCCATGTATAACATCTTAAATAGAGAAGGAAGTCCAACCAGGATACCAGATAAAATACTCTGAAGCTCTCTGAAGCAGTTATGTTCCTGAGCTCCATTTTACAGACAATAAGGCAACATCCCTGCACATCGGCTTTGTGATCATTTTTATACATCTTTTTTCCTATGGTACAAGAAAAAAAAAAAGTAAGCAGAGTACACAATGTACAGTTCTTACACTATTTTCACAGCTTCTGAACACTATACACTTATTTTTTTATAAAGATACATTGCAATAAACGGTGCACCCTTAATAGCTGGAATCGATGCATGTTAAATGCGTTCTGCACAGCAGTGCCACCGCACAGCCCACGCCTGACTCCAACTCATTACTGCTTTAGCCACACTATGGACCGTGCTCTGATTTAACCACAGCACTGCTCACTGCAGGAAATCCTGCTTTTTTTTTTTTTTTCCTTGCAGAGCTCAGTGCTGCCCCATTGGCGCTGCAGGAGTGCTGCCCAGGGTTCTGGGGACACTCAGCTTCAGCCCAGCGCTGTGTGCCCTCTGCCGGGCGCCCACAAGCGTGGCCCAGGCTCTGCGCTTCCCCACCTGAGAAGAGGGGCAGGGATGTGCTGTGCTCCCGCTGCATCCCGGTGGCACCAAAGGGCGAAGCCCCATCCGGGCAAATCTCACTCCTGCTGCTGTGTGCGCGCTGCTCTGCACATCCATCCCTCAGCCAAAGCTTCACGTGGGCTGCTCATGTTTTGGCAAAGTCGTATTGAGTGCTGAAAAATGGACAATTCAAACTGGAAATCACATAGCCTCCATTTGATCCCCAGCATACTACCAAATGTCTGAGAATTGCAGTAGTTTGGAGGGGAAAAAAAATTCAGAAAAAAAAAATCTCTGAAAAAGTTGCCAAATTTAAAAGATAAAATGACAGCTGATTTACTTCATCCAGTTCCAACCCCTGCCACAGGCTGGCTGCCCCCCAGCTCAGGCTGCACGGGTCCCACCTGTGGAGCACCCACAGCTCTGGGCAGTGCCAGTCCAACACCTCGCCCGGTCTTGTTGGGTCAACTGAAAACCCAGGTGTTTGATATTCCCTCATCTCTGCTACTTTGTAAGGTTCTCAGCAAGGTTCACTTAACTATGTAAAACAACATGAGCTTCCCAGGGTAACAAGAGGTTACATACACTCAAAAGGCAAACAAGGCTTCCAACCAAGCAGAGCATCGTATTTGCAACAGCACAATGGGCACAGACTCAGGGTGGGAGGAGAGCTGTCCTGCACAGTGATGAGAAGGAACGGCTGAGGTCTGGCCGTGTTAGGGACACACGGGGCTGGGAAGTGGCAGTGCTGCTGGCTGGGCTGTGGGCAGGGAAATGGAGCTAGCAGCAGAGCTGGGGACAGTGAAGAGCATGAGAAACATTGACTGGAAATCGCAGACGTTCATTTCTGGCTCATTAAAACAGGCACAGACTTTGTGAACGGCACTTGTTGAAGTCAAAGCAAAGCCAGCTGGTGGTGAGCGCTGTGCAGCTATAAATCAGGTCACAAGCGGGTTAAATTCAATCGAGTAGTTTAATAATTCTTCAGATCAAAGGTCTTATCTTACCAGGTAACAATTTACAGGACGCCTAGTTAAGAGTGAAGAGTGGCTGGCTTGGTAAAAGGAGAAAGAATACATTATGTCCCATCTCTGAATAGTTTAATGTTAGCCTCTTTCAATGCAACATATTTTTGGTAAAGACATATTCACTATATTTAACATGATCTCTCTTTTAACAGGAAGTTCAGCTGAGCACACTGTCCCCAGAAAGTACGCTGCGACTGTAAAGCAACAGAATTTCATAGCGGTAAATCTATTGCACTTTGTGAAGAATAAAATTCTCCTTTGCCTTTCTAGCTCCAGAAGGCAAAGCATCTCGTTGGTTAAGCAAGTTCTTCTCCCTCCAGGCAAAGTCTCTTAATGTTCAGACAGACAACGCCTAACTTTTGTTTGTTTGCTTTTTATTATTACTTGAAACAACAATTGGAAGAATTTGAGAGAAAAATCTTTCCAGTAGCTGCTGAGGAGTCTCCAAGTTTTGAGTCTAGAAATGAATTTTAGGTGCTATCCAATCACGGTCAACAAATAAATGTACTTATTTCCACATTTCATGAATATGTCCACAAAAGAGCAGATGAGGTCTCTCTTTGACCAACACTAACACTGTGTGATCAGGTATTACAGGGATGCACTTTATATGTGACAACAGTATACAGACAGGATGGAAATAACACCAATATTATTGCACATGGTGTCTGGGCGAGCATTAAAAACACTGCAATATGTGATGAAAATTCTTTACAGCTTGTTTTCTCTCAGCCCTTTTTCTAGAGTTTGACGTAGCAGCAATATCAATCGACATACATTGGAGAGCTGGGAGTTGCTGGCATTTGATCCAGGATTTTACAAACATAGCATGCAACATCCACTGTGCGTTCCTCATACATCAGAATGAAGGGATGTTTCTGGAATCAGACAGAGAAACAAGCAGGTTACTAAACTCGCCTTTCAGCTGGATACCCCAGATACAAGCACAGCATACAGACTTGCCTGGTGCAAGACCCCAGTGCTTGGCAGTGAGTGCAGGACACCAGGACATGGCCTGGTCTGTGGCTTTTTGCATGTGAGGCATCCTTATCTTAAACATGCAGTAAAGAGGTGGGTGGGACTCCATGGGAGACACACCGAAATACTTTCATTAAAGACTTCATAATCGGCCTTTTCAGCAATGAAGAGACAGAAATAACAGGGAGACATGACCTGGGAGGCCAAAAACAGAAGGTGAGGATCCCAAACCAGTTCTCCTGAACTCTGATCCTCAGGTTTGCCCAGCAGGCCTTACTGGCTGGCTCTAACTGACAGCAGCTGGGAAATAATGACATGGTGACTCCGTGGGCCAGGACACCAGGCAAACTCCCTTCCTACAACACCGACACCATGAGGCACCCAGGACAGGTTTCCCCCATTCTCTGGAGGCGTGGCTTCCCAATGCACAGAGTTCCATAAAAATACGTGTCTGCCAAGTGTGACTTATCCAACCCCAAAGCCTAGCCAACCTCATTCCTTCACGGTGTGGCTCATACATTGGAGGCACTGACGTGTGACAGCGTCTGCCAGCAATCTGACAGGGCTTTTGAGTGCCCTTGCCAGGATCTCAAGCCAAGGTAGAGGTTGCAGGGCGCACCCTACCTGTCTTACCCAATCCTGCACACTTCAGAGACCACATGGGTCAGCTATGTCTGGTTAGAAAACCTACTCCAGTATGGCACCTCCACCTTCACCTAGCTCCTAGAACTGGGTATTTATGGACAGACACCAACAATCTTGGTCATCATGTGAGCCACACAAGCCTGACGGTGGCAGGGAGGCAGTGCTGTCCTTCAGGCTGCAGAGCTGAATGCTCTTCTTCCATCAGCTGAGAAGACACAGACGTGTGACCCGGCCCCGCTCTGTGCTGTGCACAGCCACAGCAGCTGGGCTCAGCAAGCATGCTCTGCACTCACCAGAAGCTCTTTGTACTTTGGCCTTTTGGACTCGTCCTTTGTAAGGCTAAAGAAAGCAGAAAGAGAATTAGGAAAACATAGGGCTGAGGAAATGGTTACAGACATTAAAAGTAAATCTTTACAGCACAAGATATTGAATCTACTCTGGAGGAACTCAGAGTATCCCCAATCATTCAAGTCCAGGAATGTAGTTTTCTCCATAAGTCACCCTTTCCAATCTGCAGGTCATCACCAGACTCCCTCCCCACACAGGTACAGGTGCTACATGAGCAGAGACCCCATAGCGACCAACAATCCCCACTGAGGATGGGCCTAAGAGAGCTGCAAGCTAAACCACATCGTGGTTTAGTGCAGTGGGCAGATAGAGTTCAGACAACACTCTCAATCATGGGTTCCGATTTTGGCTGGCCCTGCATGGAACAAGGAGCTGGACTCAGTGATCCTAATGGTTCCTTCCAACCCGGCACATTCAGGGATTCCACCATTCTACACTGCAGCCTTGCCATGCAGCTGCCATCTCCCCAGCACAGGCACAGCTCACTGGCTCCTGGCCTGCAGCACAGGGCACAGCCGGGCTGTGGTGGGACAGCAGGAGGCAGCAGAGGCCACCAAAGGCCCCGCAGCACTGGGCACACAGACACGGCCCAACCACTGCTCCCCACTGCTCCCTCAACTTTCCCTCAAATTAGCAAAAATAACCCTTTCTTGCAGATCTATCACAACCAGCAGACACCAACACTGCACGACTCTTCTGTCATTTTTCTTGACTCTTCCCAAAATAGAAGATTATTAAATGCACATTTGAGGGGTGATGCCCCGGGGATCAGTGCCATCACTCACCCACTACCACAGCCTTTAGGAGTAGCAGTGCTTTACCTGCAGGCTTACTTAACAAAAGTTACTAAGAAGAATGTTTGTTACAGTATTGCTATAAATACTCCAGACAGAACTCTGCCTATTCACAAAATTAGATTAAACAAAAAACAGACTGAAAAGTGTTCCATGCTCTGTGCGCTGCAACTGTCCCAGAGCAGCAGGCCCTGAGAGCTGTGAATGGGTGGGAAATACAAACAGACCTATGAGACACACTGGCCAAACACTGCTGTTCAGCACAGATGCCATGCAGGTTCCTCTCTTGGGTCATCTGGAACCAAATCCAACAGCACAAACAGGCAGGAGAGCAAGCTCTTGGTTTTCGCACTCTGTTATGACACTGCCTCTCCACAGAGAAGCGTGTGGGAAACCTTCTAATGTGGCAAGGGAAAGCAACACTGACTTTCTGATACATAGTTTTTCTGCACATAGTTTTTGTCTGAAAAATGAAAACTGTTTCCATGTTTCATTTTCTAGAGTAACAAGCTCTTAGTACAGACACTTGGAAAACAGAATCTGGATTCTGAACACTCCTAATTCTGAAAGACAATACAATCCAACCCCAAACCCTGTTCCACTTTGAACCTGAACCCTTCACTTCTCTGGTGTACTGAAAATACAGAAACAAGATCTCTTAAAAAGTAAAGAAAGTATCAAGTATCTCTTGTTGAATCTTCCTGCATCGCAGAGCTTTGAGAAGGACACCCCTGGCTCAGGATGTCCACTACCTACACAGCCCCAGAACAGAAAGGCCCTGAAGGGGCACACAGGTCACACTGATCTGTGCCTTTCATTATTAGGTTAACAAAATTACTTTGATGACCTTTCACATTTTGATGGGAAAGTACTTAAAAAATTCACACTCAGCCCTTAGTCTAAGCAGGACCATGCACAGGTGGCAGGCAGACGGACTGCTGGAGACTTCTGCACAAGCTCTGCAAATACCACATCCAAGGCTGACCAAACTGCACAGGCCCTTCCACCTCATAAATGTATTCTGACTCTTCATCTTCTCACACTGGACATGAAATCAATAATCAAGCAAGTCACCTGCTGCAGGTCCTGACAGCCAGCTGAGCAGAACCTTGTCTGACCAGGCAGGGAGGCTCTTGGCTTGGCTATGCAAAAGGCAGGACCAGAATAGATCCTCAACTCAACCAAATGACAATACTACTAGGTGTCTCAGGCTTCTTCCTGGAGAAGGCAAGGCAATAGCAGATCTGTTCCAAGCCTGTATAATAACTAATGAACAGGCTGCACAAGCCAAGCAAATCTCCCATCCGTTTTGTGACTCTCAGAGGTTTTCTCCTTATTTCTTCCCTGAAGAGCAACTCCCAAAAGCCCGTCCTCCAGACCCCACTCAGACAAAAGACTCAAAAACCTCCCATCACCTTCCCAAGAAGAGAAATGTGAAAAGTCCTTAACCTCCTGCTGGTGCAGGAACATGGAACTAAGTGTTGGCACATGACTTGACAAATACTTTGCAATGACAAAAAAATCCAACTCCAAGTGCTTTGAGGAGGTAACACTTACCACAAGTTGACAAAGTTGATGAAACTTGGGGAGAATTCCCTTTCCTCTGAGTTACTCAGCTGTGGTGGGTCTCCTTTTACTACTTGCGTCAACTGGTCAAACACACTGTTCCACTTGGGGTACGGGAATCGCCCTGTGGCCAGCTCATACTGCAAGAAGACAGCAACAGCAGGAGATAGGTTACACAATGTCTTTCAGGGTAACAAAATCTCTACAAGGATCTTGAAGGTCCAAAGGAAAATTATGATGAGATTCTCCCTCCCATCCCCTATGGGCAGTTCAGCTGAGAGAAAGACAAGGAGTTCTGCTACCTACATCATGACTGTGTCCTAACTTACCCAGCTAATATTTAACCCAGCTATGCTGAACTCTCGTGGCTGATGTCTCTCCTCTGCTGACTATAAAATGAACCAATGGTCTTTTAAAGATACTTTAGAAATGCGAAAATAAAATCTTCCAGTCTCTTCCCAGACATCATAATAACCACTATGGAAAAGGGATCCCAAGAAAACAAGCATTTTAAAATGCCTGCAGGGAGAGCAGCCCATTGATAGAAGCTACTGACTCACTGCTTCTGATTTCTCTTCCACTTCACCACCCTGAGAATGGGGGAACTTCTCAAACAATCAGTGTTTGCATTTTGCAGTGTTGTGGTTAGCCAGAAATCAGCAACAGGGAACCAGGATTAACTGACAAACTGCACAGCTGGAGTACCCAGACACCAGGGCTGTGAGAGGCTTATTCACAAAGGCTGGGTGCTCTTTCTACATCGTCACGCTCACCATCCCTCCTCACATCAGATTCTGAAGACAAGATTCATTTACAATCCAGCACCTCCCCCCAGCTCACATCTCTACCTCTGACTATAGCTGCAGCTAAATGTATCCTCAGGGGTTCAGGCAAGCCATGTGCCTTAAAGGGATTTATATTCCTTCAGAGCCAGGAGGTGCCCACTTCATAAAATACAAATGTTTCACTGCAGCAGAGCCGGGCTTCACTTCAAGCACATTTGACAACAATCAGCTCTGTCACACCGCCAAGCGTGTGATACCCAGCAGGGAACTGCCATGCAGCAGAGGGCCTAAGCCCTACTAACTCACCAATGTAATCCCCAAGCTCCAGACATCTGAGCGGACATCATAGCCTTGCCGGGATGCGCTGGGATCTATCCTTTCCGGCTGAAACAGGAAGAAGCACCATTCAAACACTGCGCCATGCAGGACAGAACGAAACACATCTGCAAACTTGGAAAAAATAAGTACATCCCACCAGGACAACACTCAACCCCAACAGAGAAACATTTGATGTCCCTGGAGGTGTTCCAGAACTGCAGAGATGTGGCACTGAGGAACACGGTTGGGGTGGCATTGTGGTGATGGGATGGTGGTTGGATGTGGTGATATCAGGGGTCTTTTCCAACTGTAATGACTTTATGATTCTGTCATGTCTTCATGATTATCAGGCCTTCAGATATTCAAAAGATCTTCCCACAGAAAAGGTGGACAGCAAAGTGGACACGGGTGATCTGCACCCCATTGATCTATCCAGGGAGCTGGACTTTCTCAATGCTTTGCATGTCATCTTCATGAGAATGCCTCTTTTATTACAAATGTAATAATTAAATTGCCAAAGAAACAGGATCACATTCCGATTTGAGTGCAAACAATGATAGAGAAGAAATACTAGGAAAGCCCTGATTGCTCTGTGAGCTACATTTCAATAAGATTTCACGACAGAAACTGAAGAGTGCCATGCAACCAACAAAATCCCTTAGTGCAACCTCTAGCTTCCAGTGGACCACCACGTGTGTGAGAAAACAACCAGGTCCCCACAGCACCTCCCTAGCCCCAAAGCCCAAGGCATTTCTGGTTGCTCTGTCCTGCTGCTAGCTTTCCTCTTTGCCACCCTCTGCTTGCACAAAGCTGCCCTAAATGTGCTTCCAAACCTCTTCCTTTCCCTCACTCAGCAGGATCTTCTCTAACAAGGGCACACACTGAGGTCACCAATCAAACTACCAAAAATACCCCAAAGAGAAAGGGAAGAAGTCATTTTCAGCAAGATTGACTGACTCTACATGTCTTTGTTACCTTCCTGTGTACACAATGACTTGTTAGATATCTGTGTATCACCTTCCCAGTGCAGTCGGTGTGTTTTCTCACCCTCTCTCCCAGTTACAATATCTACTTTGAAACAGGCTGGGTTCAAATGCCCTGAATGCGGTCTTTCAGGGTCAAAGAATCACAGAACCGTTAAGGCTGGGACAGACCACTAAGTCCAACCATCAACCCACCCCTCCCATGCCCACCAGACCAATCATGGGCTGCCTGAAGAAAATGTGGGGCTCTGTGGGTTAATAGATAACAGCAGTGGGAAGGGAAAATTCAATCTAATATTCTCTGATGGTTTCAAGATGCTGGAATGGTCTTCTTGGATGGATCAAATAGTAAAAAAGAAAACATGTAAGAAATGGCTTAGAGGGCAATATTAGTGGTAGGTGGACAGCTGGATTAGATGATCACAGAGGTCTTCTCCAACTTTTGTGATTCTGTGATTCTGTGATTCTTTCCTGCCCTCTCAAGTCTGTCTGTTGCCTTGTTTTCTTATCCTTTAGTTATCGTTTTCATTTGTTTGAATCTCATGCATTAGATTTTCCCATTGATGGGGTACTGCTGGATGGATTTTTCAATAATCCTGGTGGAAATGAGCACAGAATAATAAAACTGGTAAAATTAAATTCTCTTAGATCTATTATCAGTTCTTCATGTACTCACCTGGAAGCTCAGTCAAAATCTACCACATTTGCACTACACATAAACCCATGCTTCTGACTGCTCACGATCCAGAATTCTATCCTGCCTGGATAAGCACAGTCTTTTCATATTGGTTTCCCCATTTAAACAGATTACTGAATCAAATTATAAGGAATTAATAGCTAACATAAATCCTTTCGTTTACGGATGGAAAACAGAAATGTAAAGACAATTTCACAAACATTTTGAACCTGAGACAGCAAGGAAAACATCCTAAAACATTAGAAGGGATGAGGATTTAAATGGAAAATGTGATCTGAGATCCTGTTACTCATTGATTTGAGGGGAAGAAGGATTGATAACCAGTGATCATTCAGGATTTGGATGCTCTTGGACATTTCAAGAAGCTACTGGAGATTTCAGCCAGAAGTAAAACATCTCAAGGAGGAGCCAGTGGATGCACGGAACACTGGTTCACACTCAGGCTCGAGAAGAACAAGAGGAACTTGTACTTCTACTCTGCTCAGAAGTAATAGGTCCAACTAATCTAAAGTGCTCTCAGCATATTTCCACCAACAGTCCAAAATGGAAATGGAAAATGCCAGCACAACAGAGGACAGAAAAATGTGGCATCAGCAACAAGCAATGTGGAACCTTCTGCCATGGAAGAGTTTTTGATGACTCTCCCAAAAATCTCTCAAGGACGATGCTGTGTCTATCCTGTCCATTCTCAATGTCATGCTGTAGCTGCAACCTCCCCACAGCCTTGTCTGCCCACAGCTCCCACACAGCCCTGTCCGGCATGCCTGATCTCAGCAGACAGACAAGAACAGCCAGACTCCATCAGCTATGAGCAACTGAGACCCAGCCCATTGGCACACCAGGCACAACACTGCTGGGACTGTGGCCCCATGACACTACTGCTTTCCTTCAGTGCAAAGCTCTCCTTACCTCCATCCCTCCTGCCAGACTCTGGGGGCATCCTGCTGCCTACTGGGTTCCAGCAGCAGGTAGGAAGATAAGATCTCTGAGGTCCCTTCCAGCCTGAGCCATTCCATGATTCTGTTCTAGGATTCTGTAAGTCTGAAGTACCCACACAGGGGCAGCCACCTACCACAACCACACAGAGTGTGACAGAGCAGCAGGGACTTGGCTCCACACAGCCATGGCACAGCTAAAGGCAAAGCATGATGGACCAAAATAAATCCCCTGTAAATACAGAGCAAAAAATCCTGGGAATTTTCCATGTAGAGGACATGGGAGCAATGAGCACCAAGGGAGAGTCACACTCAGGGACCTGGGATGAGAACTGCAGACAAACCTCAGTTCTTGCTGGCTGTCTTTCTAATGCCAACTGCAAGCAAGGAAAGGAAATGGTCGAGACAGAGATCAACCCCTGGATGTGCTGCTGACTGTGTAAAGAGGCAGAGCATGAATACACCACAGGGACATCCTGACACAGGGCTTCCCTCCACTTAGTGTCCACCTAAGCATCAGCATCTGCACTGACAAAAGAGCAGAAATGGGAAATGCTGATGCTCCCCTCCCTTCCCAGCCCCCAGATGAGCAGTCATGCAATTTGGGGTGGGACACAAGAACAGATGCACATACAACTTGCTGCAGTTCTCAGTTGTTTCATGTTGCTGAAGAATAAAACAGTATTTCTAGAAAAACATAATTCTTGAAGCTCAGATTTGGATATTTACTAGTTATATTATCAGGGAATTTCTATCCTACACACACTGCAAATTCGAAACTGCCTTCATGGCACAAAACTGTACTTAACACATCCTTATTTGCTACTTAAACCAACACGTTCCAAAGTAAAAGACAATAAAAAGGCTACAAGGAGTGAAGAACTACCAGAAAGCAATCCGTGCAATCCAAAACACAGAACAGAACTGACAGGATGTAAATTCTCCCTCCCCTTCCACCACAGAAACACATGGATGTGAGCTGAAGCTGCCAGCCTCCACTGCAGCCCACCTCCCCTCACACACAGCAGCACACAATGAGAAACACTGGATGTGAAGCCCAGGGACTGCTCTGCCTTTGGTGGATGATGGGAGCAGGTAAAGCCCTGCACATCCGGAAGCTGCGTTGTGATGGCAGCAGCTTCAGAGCTGTCTGTGCCGAATTCTGCTACACAGCACACAGTGAGCTACAACCAGGCAGCCAGACTAATAGACCTCCACGGCTCCAACAGTGACTGGATACAAGTCTTGCATGCAAGAGACGGAGCTCCCCAGCACACTTTTCTGCTGCTTTGTTAACCAGTGGATCAAATATGTATGTGTTTAGGCAGTGCTCCAGACAAAAGTGCTGTTTTCCCAGCGGTGATAACCCCATAACCACGGCTTTCTCATCAGCACGGCTGCGCCCTGCGAGGGCTCAGTGCTCACAGGGAACCATGTGTCACCGTGCAGAGCCACAGCAGCCACAGGGCAGCTGAACAGCTGCCTGTGGGGTTGTGCAATAGCAACAGAAACCATCTTTAGGACCATAAATAAACAGTTTGGGAAATTCTTCCGCTGTTCAGTAAAGGAAAATGCTGCCACTCCCTTTTCACGTTGCTGTGTTTCTCTACAATATTCCTGCAGCGAAGAGCAATTTGTTTCTCCTTTAGGGCTCTCCCTGCATGGGCCTCACACAATGGAGTCAGAGCAATGGCCAACCTCAGAGAGAGCCCAGGCAGGGGGTGAAACACTGTGCTGAGCAGGGCAGCAAGGGAGCACTGACCTGCTCAGCTCAGATCCGCTCCTCTGCTAACTCCTTCTCCAAAGAGCCTGGATGCAAATCTTACCTGCTCACCAGCACCTCCAAAGGTTTTATTCCTGTCCACAAGGGAGCTCCTTCCCTGACCTCCCCTTAGGCTGGGCTCAACCTATGCTTAGGAGGGGCCTCATCTCCCACCTCCCCAGGGTACACTCACCTGGCTAACCTCCTAGAGAAGGGGAAGCCCTGCTGTGCAAGGTGTCTGGGCTCAGAGCCCTCTGCTGCCTCCTGGGTGCCAAGCAGCAGCCCTGACACACAGACACTAAGCAGCACCCAGCAGGATGACTCGGGGCACTCTCTGAGGTAACACTTAATTGTGCTATTGGCTGCTAAAGAGCTGAGGTGTCTAATTTCATTTGGATCTTGATTTTTATGTTCAGTGGAGCCCAATAAGCTTCCTGGATCTCCTCACAGGCGTGTGAGGGCTCACAGAAGGTGACCTCAGTGCTGCACAAGCCTTGCTCTAAGAACACAGATGTGAGTCATCTGCACAAGGAGTGAGACAACACAACCAAATTTTTCTCAGGCTATACCCCTCCTTGCCCAGTACCAGGTGACTGATGAAAAAGTGATTAACTCTTTGTTTTCTCTGGTCTGTATTGCAGAACCAATCACTACAGGGATCACAGAATCACAGAATGGCTTCGTTGGGA